TACTTTTATTACATCCAACGTCAAAGAACCGTATATATTTACAACAATGTGTTTATTTTGAAAATGTTGCATTTGTTAGATCTGGAAACGTCGCAGACGCGGCCGTTGCATTATGCAGATTGTGGCGAGAGGTGGGCGTCTCCAAACCGAATTTATCGCGATGCCTCCGCATTGCCTATTCAATCCGCGGGAAACAGCTGCCTGCCGGGTAATAGAAAAATGTACCTACCCACGTTTCCGCCAAGCCGTGACGTAAATGAAAACTATTGAAATAAAAATGCTAAAATCATAGCGGCGAACGAAGAATACGTACGTTCGCACGCTTCACTTATTATTGATTGACCCACTGACTTGATGTTAGTTGGGAAGTTACAACAATTGTTTTTGACAAATCAGTGCCACAGAGACTTAAGACAAACTATAAACTACACAGAAAGAGATGTGTTCCGATTCCTTGAAAAAAAATGAAGATACAACAAAGGTTAAGGATTGATAAATTTCGTTTTCATTTATTTATTAGGTTTAATTTAATTTGGATATTATAAAATTTTCGGCGACTCTCGATATGGGTACCTAAAAGCGAGAAAATCAAGATAGTAAATAATCGCGAATAAACGCCATTTTTATCATAGACACTATTTATAGTTTTGAAATTTAGTCCTTTTTTTTATTTTTAATAGACTTCAAAATTGAAAGGTTCTATATTCGGCGGTGATGTATGTTTTTTAATTACGTTTAAATCTATTAATATTAAACTAGTACATATTTCAATAATGGAGACATTAAAATTAAAAAAAAGTCAATCTCGTGTGAATATTAGTACCTTATTATTTGTAATACGCCTTTTGGACTAATCCGAATGCTTGGGTTAGTATAACACGAATTCGCAAAATGCCAGCTGGTCCCATATTTGTCGCGGGCCGTGCTATAGTTTATGTGCGGTACAGTCTTGAAGAGAATTGACTTAGCAGCGCGGAGTGCACGGCACGCCCAAATTACTATTTCAATCTGAGCGAGCGACTGCTAGCGCTGCCTGCCCGCCTGCCTGCGCCAACAATTCACTTTATTTTCGCTTATTTTAGTAGAGACGACTGATGGATGGATTATTGAAGGAATTGTAAGTTAATGTCGGAGACGAGACGGCTCGGCGGATGCAGATCTAAACGAATTCATCTCATTTGAGATAGTATGTGTGAGATAACTTGAAGAAAGGATATATGCTTTTATATTCGATTCCTTTCATATGGAGGCCTTTGCCCCAGCAATGGGGGCATTAATATGAGCTGGTGATGGTGATGAGATTTTTTTACTCAAATTTTTGTTGCATACTCAAAGGGTAAACTGAAATGCTATAACTAAGACTTCGCTGTTTGTTTGTCTGTCTGATACCAGGATGTATCTCATGAATCGTGAAAGTTAGAATTTTCACAGATAATGTATTTCTGTTGCCGCTACAACAACATATATTAAAATAAAAGATTAAAATAAATATTTACCCCGTTAAAAACAGAAGTTTTAGATAAGTTCGTAGATACTACAACAAAAAAAAAACAAATACCCAATATGTTTTAGCACATTCATCTTAGAAAACTTTAGAGATATTAATCCAATCCAATTTGAAATACAGATGAAAAAAACAGTTCTGAAGCTTACACAAAACTTTCTGCAGTGTACACAAAACTTAGTAGAAAACGTAATCTATGCAAAATTCTTTGAAAGAAACGCTAGCGCAGATTATCTACTTTAGAATATGCGCCATCTAGTAAAGCAAAGCTTAAATTTCTTACTACATTTTATTTTAAAACTTCATCTTGAACAAAACATTGCGATGTAGAATACTTAACGCCATCTAGTACAGTTCAAAATATATAAAAATATTACTTCCATTTGAATATTTTTAAGAAAAACAAATTTAAAATATTTTGTTTTGTTTTATTTTAAATTTCATAAACACCAACTTTCATCGCTATGTAATTTACTATTTGTAAATAATATTAAATACATTTATGACAGTGACAAATTAAACATTGAATATGCTCCGAAACTATAGAACCAATTTCAAAAATTCTTTCATGTAAGGGAAGCGGGTGACATAGGCGAAATCACGGAAAAGTAGCCAGTAATAAATAAAATGTCTGTACATTTCTTTACATTAACCTAAATAAAGGAAACGCGAATAGATAAATGCCTTCAAAACAATAAATAAATAATTGGTCGTGCCCGTTGTAGAGGCAGATTTGACCTGCTCATTATTTTGGCATCTTCCCGGGTCAACACCACCGTCTCCCGCCCGCACCGTTCCCTTCACCTTTCATAAAAGTGAACGATATTTACATTAAATTCACGGACAAGTTGATAATAAGAAAAGCGTCTCGGCTGAAGGATACTCTTTTACATCAAACGGAATGCACTAGCGTCAGGGGTGTCACTAAATATTCTCGTTTTAAGACTGAGTGTTCCGTCGCCCGCTCTAATTACGTTGTTTTTAATTAGGTCTGCTTTGACCCGCACAGACGATCTTTCGTAATTAATTTGTTTCGTATTTAATTTAACTGATGTAATGCGTTTTTTGTTTTCAGCAATTACTATTACATTCACGATGACAAAGTAATGTATATTATATTTTTGAATATCGACATTTCACTACAATCTAGTTATGCATGAACAGCATTTGTTAAATGATTAACTTTAACAATGAAAGTTCAAGATTTTATCTCCAGTAAATAAAATTAATATTATTTATTATGATTATTATTTACGAGTACATATGTCATATTGATATTTTTTGTTACTGTTATCAGTTGATAGATCATTAAAATCATAAACGAAAATCTGTTGGTTTAAGTACAGTTTGAGACGTGCTCGATTTAAAATTTTTAATTCTGAAACGACATTGACTATTTCAATAAATTGAGGCTTTCAATAAATTTAACTCGAAAGTAAATTTAATGTGTACGTGACAACCCTGCGGTCGGTCACGGGCCACGCTGAAGGACGGGGCGCGGAAGATGAAAGGCTACAGGCCGCATTCGGCACAACAAAGCGCTTTGTCTCCTCACGCCCCGCGTGTTAAGTTTGACTCTCATTGCGACGCGGAGTGGCCCGTGCGGTCAAATTTCCACTACTTGGACGCCTCATTATTTTTAACAAATTTATATCCTTTTTTAGATATAAGGTATTTATTATATCTGCAATTTCGATATTTATATTCCACGGCATCTATAAATCTAAGAATGAATATATATATTTTAAATATATTAGTATGTGGTGTGTTTTTCTATTGTATTATTACTGTTAATATAATAATATTATAAAAAAGTGAAGTTGTAAAAGATCTCGTGTCCGTCTCACCTAACATCCCGTTTGACAGAAACGCGTCTGTGTCTGTGTGCTTTCGTCACCGCATTTTATTTTACCTACAAACGGCGCAAATTCTCTTTTATCTTTGCCTCTCGCAGAGTTTTATTTAAAACATCTTGGTGTTGTTCTCTTATTTTATTATACAGGATTGTGATAACTCGCCTAGAACTCACTGACAGAGTATTGTATTCAGAGCGCTTAGTGTAAGTTTTTTTGACGTTTTCGTTCACTGTCGATCGTGAGCGCGTTAAGATTTTAGTATGGAATCCGGTACAGCGCCCCTAGCGGTAACTACCAAGAACTACAAATCTCCATACAAATTCTTAACGCGCTCACTAGTGAACGCGTTAGCGTAAAACTTACACTTGCCTCTCTGAAAAAAAATATGAATACGCACTATTTATATAACGTGATGTATTTTGTTTTTATTAAACATTTTGTAATTATTATCCAGTTCAAACACGTTGGGTGCCAGTATTTCTTTGGCACCCAACATGGGATTGTACGCAGCAATAATAATTGGTCCTTTCGTAAAGTTTTAATTCGACTAGCAAGAGATATCATGATAGTGCGCTCACAAAGCTCACAATTAATAAAGGGGTGGTGAGTGTTCACAACTCGAATAGTTCGGCCCGCTCTCTCGCCTGTCGGCAAGCTGAAACGATATTTCATGCAAACGAAACATTAACTGTTCTTTACGCATGATAAAACAATAGACAGGGTTTAGCTTTTTTTTCACATCAAATATAAAAGAAAAGAGAATACCAGCAAATATTTGGCATGTAATTGCTTCGACGGTCAAGAGTCAAAGCGCGTTTGTCGAGCAACCTAATCGCAAAGAGACAAAGTGGGGCGCGCTAATTCGCGTCAGAACGGGAACAATAAAAGTGCAGGTGGACCAGGGACGCCCGCGCCTCCACGCTTACATCAAAGGCTCGCTCGCGATACCATACAAAAGCCCTAATGAGACAAACCCGTGGCGTAATCGAGGCGACGGAAAAAGATGAGGCCCGAGAGGTACGAGGCAAATTTTAATAATTGTCAAAGCGGCGGCGCCGATCAAACGCGAGGGGGTGACGACAGCCGCGCCCGCGTCGCCCGCCTCCGTTCGCGCCCGCCGTTGCCGCACCTGTGACGTATGCTAGCCGCGGGCCTCATTAGAGCCACTGATCTTACACTATTTCGAACTTTTAGCGAATTCTAATTAAACTTAAACTGAATTTCAATTGTATGACTGACATTTTGTAATGCTTAAAGCCGACACCGCCGCTGAGACTAGAAAATGCCACGTTCAAAGGCGCGCCGTGCACGTTTTCGCAGATATTAAATGTGTTGACAATTTAATTTTTCATTTCCTTTAGGCGGCGCGGGGCGGCGGCGACGGGCGGCGCCACCCGCGCGGGACCGCCGCTCCTTTGACGTCGCGATATTGTCTTTGTGCAGCTCGTGGGGTGGGGATCGAGTGGGGCCGACGCCGACGGAGACTTTGTCGCAATACAATGTGTATCAATAAAACTTAGGATTGGCTTTTAGTGGTTGCACTTACGCTTTGTGAAGCGGCACGCTCACCCTTTGACATTATATGTGGGGCGCGAGCGGGTGGCGCGTGGGTGTGTTTGTGTGACGGGAGCGGAGTAATAATGCAGGCGGAGACGAGCCGGCGCCCGGCGGCGGGTGCACGCCGACGCACACAGCCTGCTTTATTAATATCGGTACGATCGCGGCAACGGCGGCGGCGGTCGTGCAGCGGCCCGCACGCCAACGAACGCCGGCAACCTTATACTACCAAAGCTGCATTAATGATACTTCTCGTAAATACAATCTCCGCTTGAGTACATACACCTCTTGCTACGCTTTATGAGATCCAGGCCCACTATCGTTTGTTTGACATGAAAGCATCATGTCATATGATCACATACTACTCGAGTTCTATTTGTAATATCGTTTATGTCTACTGTAGCATGTTTTCTATGATACTTATTCAAAAATAAATCAACTTTATTTGTAAGTAATATCAAATGTAAAGACTCTTCCCGAGCCGAAATCCCTCTGAAAAATTTGGATCTTATGACTAAATTACAGTGTAATATATTTAATTTGGGTACTCGTCATAATAGTAACTGATTTAATAGGACGCTTTTCAAACTCTTTGATGTACGCCTGTCAAAGGATGCGTAGCGTTCAGTCTACAAAATGGCACGGGTGTGTTAAAAAAAGTTACGTGTGTAGCTTTTATCCTTTGAGGCTTTGACCGTAACTACGTAGCTGACCCGCTAACGTATTATCGGGATTGCATTCACCGCGGCGCGGCATGCATGTGGAAAATATCATCGGCCTCCCCGAGGGTCCCTTTGGCAGCAGTCGCGATGCTTGCTCGACTGCTCATAAAAAGTATCCACATTTTTGTAATAAAATTACCTGTTTTAAAAGGACGTTACTACTGAGATTAAGGCACAGAACGATGTAGTTAGTCGTCGGCGGCCGATCAAAGGGCCCGTTGGACCAACCGGTGCCCTCAATTTCGACCGGTGGGCGGGACGTTTCACGCCACGTGTTGCGCGCGCACGTTCACTGAACACAACTGACAGTTGCTCCTCAGCACCCGTCCGTGTTGGGCGCCGCTGATATTTGCACAGCTTCGATATCTGCGAAGTTCGAAAAGATCGTGTAAAACTTTTCAATCGTAATCTTTTACCAGTTGTAGTGTTTTAGAAATCAATGATATCTGTGTTAAACGTCTAGTCTAGTTCAGTGTCAGTGATAAGGTTTACGTGTATTTATTGGATTATACGATAAAACTGGATTTAAATTGTCGTCTCTAAGGTATTAACTTTTAAATTGTAAACTAACGTCGGGTGTCGGGAACTGACAAAGAGGCTTTTTTTTCCGGCGGCGGCCTCCCTGGACGCGGTACGGTTTCGAGTTGTGGCAAGTTTTTTACTAGAACCAGCCGTCTCCTTGGTGTATTTTAAATATTTATTGGAATGTCGTATTGTTTTGTATGTCGCCATTGTACCCTCGACTAGTGTCGGTTGGTGCATCATACGAATTGTTTCTCGGCCTCGCTTTAATGGCACTTTTATGGGTTTCGTTTCGTATTTCGTTGTTGTTGTGTTTTTTTTTCAATAGTATCTTTTATTCAAAATAGTGAAATTACTTTAGTTACCTATTTAAATACCTACTTTCAAGTTATATATTATTAGTTGACTGTCCGAGGCCGTTGTTGCAAATTATTTTTATTTAATTAGTTTGATCGTTTGAATGATGGCTTGCATTTTGTGTCGTAATAACACAAGTGACGTTAGTTTAATGCCGATATTAGTCTTTATTTTAATCGCTTTAGTTGTCGTTAAACTTCGCATTTTATTCAATTTAGAATAAGGTGTTACATCTACTATAGGACAAAAGATCGACAAATTTCCATTTGTAGAAAGCAAATAAGTAAAGCTTTTATCACATCTAGCCGTCACTACTATAGATTTTAGAATATTATCATTAATCTAAATAACAGGACAAATTACAGTTTAATACCGCAAATTTTAGTTTTATTAAATTAAGAAGTATTTGATATTGTGTTTTGTACAACAAATTCAAACTATTTTCATAGTTATCTAGTATATTCATAATTATAATAATAATGACGATTGTAAACGATAAATCAAAAATTTAATATATACTTTTTATTAGTAAACAAATAAATTCGACATATAAAAGACATCAACGCGCTAGGCAGTCTTATCTGCGCAGGAGTGCGCGCAATCTTTTTTATTTTATTTATACAGTTTTGTACGTCTCTTCCAAAGGCAACGCGGGATATATAGTTCTTACCTGCGGCTTCGTCCATGTTGGGGCGAAGTCTGTTTATTGATATTTTGTTAAAAAAAGTAACTTGTTTTTCCATGCCTCTAATTATTATTGATATAATTACAATAACAAATTGAATAGTTAACAGATGTTACTGTGGCTACGTTTTGATTCCCCATACAAACTTCCACTCCCATTTTCATATCTTTATTTGTGGTTTTTCGCAATTTAATATAGACTAAGTTCACCACATATGATGCAGCTTCCGGTAGCTGAAAGAATTTTTAAAATCAATCCAGTAGTTTTGGAGCCACCAAACAAACAGTAAAATCTTTTCTCTTTATAATATTAGTATAGAAAAAAAATGACGTTCGTTAATATTCTGCGCGTAATATCGCTCTCCGATACGTCTTTAAAAGTTTTAATTTACGCGCTTAAGTTCGTAAAAAATATCTTCGTATAGTGCGCATTCAATGCCGGACACTCCGCTCCCTATTTAAAGGCAAATAAATATTCTATTCTATTCTAGTTGTCGCGCTGCAAATAATTGTTTTATTTTAGCTATATACCACTAAACCAGAAATGAGTTTGGGTTGAGGAGTGAAGTAGAACCAGGAATTGTGAGAACAGGACTTGATTAATTTTACAGGGGCCGGAGTGATAAATATCTTGATAAATATATTTTAATAAGCTTGATGATTATAAAACACTACACAAACACTTTTTGAACTTAGGACTTATTATTAAATGGGAATAATTTTAAACAACTATCAAATATGGTTTTTCTGGTTGTGAAATTTGACTAAAGACTATAAAAATAAAAAAGAAATGAGAATAGCCACCTTATTATAAAAAAATTACATTTTTTAGTTAACTTTTTGTTTAATGTTATTTCACAGGTAGTTTTACTGTTTAATTTTTATAATATAAATGTTTATTCAACTATGAATGCCGATATTTATTTATCAGTTGTTTATTTACATAATGTTAACAGATATTTATCAGATAATTATCCAAAAAAATATGAACCTTATAATTTTATCATGTGCGTCAAATCAAAACTTTGAGTGTGTCCACAAGAAAACCAAATGCACTATTGATTAATTTTTATCTCTTCAGATAATAATTACGCTATGAAGGCGTATCGTAACTCGGGTACAGATAACAATCATGTCGTGTTAATTAAGTTAGTGTATAAGTGTAAAGGAAATACGAAATAATAATGTAGATTGGACAAAGGAACACGTGTAGGCTTTGCGTTTATGTCTAGGGAAGCTTTTAGGCAGATACTAATAATAAAAATACACGGGTTTATTTAGTCTGTATGTCAAAAACATAATTCAAATTTACTTCATGATTTAGTGACGCTATATAGTTGGCATAATAAAAATGGTGTGAAGGGTACTTATACTTACTTATGTGTCCAGCAGTGGCGCCCTAAGTGACTGCAATCTATTTCCAAAAATGTACCTACTTCACAATGAAATTGAGTAACAAAAAATAATTTTCATACTTTTGTGTTTGTATTATTATTAGCGATCCGGCTTGGTTTCTATCGTCTCCGTAAGTGAGAACCATATCGAAATCCATCGCATGATTTTTTTTATATTTTTAAGGAACAAACAGTTACATAACAAATGTGTTCATTATAAAAACACAAAATATAGTTATCAAACATTCAATCAATTATTTATTGCATAAAATATGTCATAAAATAAGAGTATCACACTTTTACTGTATATCCTATAGTTCCATATTTTATTCCTTAAATACACAGTCAACAAAGTAAGAAAAAAAAAATGAAACCTAATTTAAATTAGGAGCTTGACTAACACGGAAACGAGAAATGGAAAGAGACTTTAATTTACACTATAAAGCGGTTCCGGTAATCATCGCCGAAAGTTTGTTTTTCACTAATGACAGTTAAAACAGCTCTCTTTATATATATTATTATATTCCCACGTAAGCGGCGTTCCCGCTGACCAAAGGATTCAAAGTCAAAATATTCACATCACGAAAGTGACACCGTCGGCAATCAAACGTCCACCCGCATACGATTACTCAGCGCGCATTAGCGTTGGCTCGAAACAGCGCCGCGCGTCGGCAAGTGGAATGAAATACGTAATTAGGTACATTATCGCACCACCACAGGGTAGGTTCACAATGAACTTACGTGTTGTCTTATCATCCACTCACTGTTACATTCATTACATAAAATTACAACAAGACAAATGTCACATTTGAGATGCCTATCTAATTAATTGTTATCATTAACACATCATTGGCAATTTCTCAATCTCTGTGCCGGGTATTTTAAAATGAAATTGTATTCGCTTATCGTTTATGTCGCTGTACGTCAGCAAGTATCTTCTTTTTCTTTTTTATTTAATGGCTTATCTGAGCATTTCGCACAATTCTGCCAATGTCAAGTAAATAAGTTAATTTTTACATGTAAAATGATAATGAAATGAATGAAAGATGGCCAGCGAGTATCTTCTTTATTTTGTTTCATCGGTCGAAATATAAAATGATTATTATTAAGATTAAGATTGTCAAACACAAATTTTCGTATACAAAAGAAAAAGCAATTCATTGTTCAAAAATGTATATCTTGAATATAAGCAGCAATGTTTTAATGAAAATACGCACTGTATAATTGCATCAAGTGTGAAACGGGATTTATGCCAGCATCCCTTATGAAACAGTAACGCTAAAAGCGCTGAAAGGGTGCGCAAGCGACGTCTTTGAGCCGCAGTCGAGTCTCAGAAAAAGGATCGCTCTGTGCTAATTTCCAAACTCGGTTTCGCACAGATAAGGATAGAGTCAGGAGGAAGGTGTCTTTGATGTAGCCGCCCGGCCCTCTGACTCCGGGGATGAGAGCTTTCAATGAAAGGATTTTTTTCATCTTCTTTCCCTTTGTACTTAATTTAAATTTCGTTTATATCAATGCTCCGAGTTTCCTTTTGGTGTGTTTTCTCTTTTACTTTGTCGCGTTTATCCTCTCCAATTTGTTATATTCGAGTTCTCTTTGTAATTAAATTTAGTGTTGGTAATCTATTTGTTCTGATTTTTTTCTCGGTCCACTCCAGTGTGCCGACTACCGGTGTAATTGCAATTTATAAATTAGGTGTCCCTTTGATTTCGAGTGTTTCTAAGAAACTCATATTTAAAAAAAAAAATGATTGTGTGTCCTCCTTTGTAGTTGGTTGCCTTTGACTGTTCTACAAACGGGCGTTTCTCTAATAATTGTAGCTTCAATTTATGTCGGCATTATTAGGGTTTTCAGTACCGGTATTCTGATATTGATGATAATTGATTTCCACTGTAGTGCGGGTGCTTAAAAATGGAGATACTACTGTAATCGTTTATTGGTACGATATAATAATACGTTTTTCAAATGCACAACTAAGTTAATTCTTTTGTATAAATTTAAAACTCTCGAATAGAATATTGCTCAATAAAATATTAATAGTTATATCCGTAATTAGTTTCAAATTCAACAATAATACGAGTTTCATTCAATCATTGTATTCTTCTAAAAAGCAATCAACTTAAATCGAAATCTCGTTGACGCGTGGTACGCAGTCAGTGCCTGACTACTGTCGCGTCTTGTTGACCGCTTGGAATGGGCATAGTAACGTATTGTTTTATGGAACGGTTGTTCGGTCGCCATTGGTGCATTATTGAATTAATTAAATGATAAACTATAACGTAATTTAACGTGTAATTTAATCACATTTGTAATATGTCTTTAAATAATAAGACATATTACAAATGTGATTAAATTACAACGTCGAATTTAATAGCCGTCACCTAGTTCTTGTTTCACAATCAAGAAGTTGATTATGCAAGTGTTTGTCGTCCCGTCGTCGTTAGTTTTTCATCAGTTTCGTCTCTCGGCTGCAGCGTCCTTTGTCGAAGTTTCCAAGAGGCCGACACAAAGTACTCTAACTAAAGCACACAGACCCATACCTCGCATTTACATTACAAGGACACCAGTTTAAGTCTTTCAGATTTAAACATCAAAGTATATCAAAACGCTTTGATGTCGGCAAATCATCGATATAAGGAAATACAGGGTCGCGCAGATTGCCTTTTGATGATAGAACATTGTTTGTGGGTGGCTTATTTGTAAAACCATGTTATTAAATAAAACTTGCTCTTCGTGACTTTTCCATGCTAAATACAAAGATTTTATGAGATTAGTTTGTTTGACGTTATTTGCTGGAAACCTATAGCTGAATCCGTGCAGAGTTTCATTACTACTGAAACTATTCTCATAATTTTGTTTGCGAGTTGTTCGCGTCGCGTATTATATGAGCGGTGTATTGTAAAGGCATCACAAAACAAAGAGTTTGTCGTGAGGAGTTGGAACGCACGAGCGTTTCCCGCGGCGGTGGCGGCGGCGGCGGCGGCACGCTCAAAGGCGCCACTTTGCGGAGTCGTCTTTGACTCACAAGAGTGTGTGACCCAACATTAATAACATACTAATAGGTCCTTTAGCTCGGGGGATTTATGCAGCTAGACTAGTCCCAACCTTGATATTACTTTGTAACGACTTCTTTGCTTATCTTTTAAAATTATGTTTTGTGACATTTAATAGTCTATACATTTTTTTTAAGATTTAGACACGTAAACATAATACTTTCAAAAGTCCTAAAATGAGACAATTTACCCATATTACGATTAATTGCTTGAAAATATGCCCTTGCGATGTCTTTCTTTCTCTTAATTTAACGAACCTTTAATCACGAATAAAACACTTGTACATTCAATTTTTCACATAATTTTATTAGCGACAGTTTAATTAGAGCACCTTTCATCGGAGCCGCTTTGAGATTGTGAACGTTTCAAATAGATTTCACAAGAAGCACTTTCAAAGAGAGCACCCCTAATAAGTACTGAAGAGTCCTCGCACGTGTTTATCAAAGACAGCCTTTCGTTACTCACCGTCTGAATGGCCTCAAAAGAAACTCGTGTAAAATGCTTCACAAAGTGCCGTATCAAAGGAAAAGCGGGCGCAAATATCTGTTTCGTAAACTAGTAAAAACGGAGCTCTCAAAGGTACTGCGTACCGAAACAAATTAGGCGGAGTTAAATACGAGCGCCGCTTTCTCAAATGCAAAACTTTGAATGTCAGTATTCGCTCATTATTTATGTAAGTCGAGGTAATCGTCAAACAAGTCCCGTGCGTTTTATTTAGCATCGCACAAGCAGGTCCAGCGCGGGCGGGGAGTCGCGCCGCGCGACCGCTCGTGCCCTGCACCCCTCACATGTGTATCCATTTAATGCTCAATTCCCATATAATTTAACTTTGCGATCAAAGCGAAATTTTCCAAAGAGCTTCCCGGCGGCACGCCGGCGGTCCGGAGGCGGGTGCGAGCGGGACGCAGACATCGGAGTTCTCGAGATCAAATGCTGGGCCAAATTAGTCACTCTCCGTCTCTCTATCTCAAAGCCGATCCGTAGCAAAGTTTGCGCGAAGATGACATCAAAAGGAAACCACACACTGGGGTGGCGCCCGCCCGCTCACCCCCTGCCCTCTCCATACTTAAATCCGCCGTGTCTCTCGCCTTATCGACACGCGACTGACAACTTGCAACTCGTTTGGGTCGCGAGCGACGTCATCGGCTGACTCCGCGCCCGCCGCTTGCTCAGCTTTGCTAGTCTTATTTAGTCGATTAATACGGAATGTCCTGTTAACTTCCAACTCCCACAAGGGGGCAACACTCAGTCGGATCAACTTGAAAATTTAATCGCATGGGTATGTTCCTACATGCCAGCGTGTGTTACAGAAACAAAATTCCAAATGTAGGTTGCTTTTAATTAAGATTACAACGCACCTCATTAACTCGGATAATTTATGGCATGGCATACCTTGAGTGATCTAAATATTATAAGATATTTATACAAAATCAAAATTTCAAAATATTAAGTTAGAAACTTAAAAGAAAATAGAACCGACTTCAAACTTTAAAAATGTGATAAATAATACTTACTTACGTTAGGAGGTGTTCAATAGGTTTAATAATCGTATTTTCTTTAATAAGTCTCTTTTGAAATAAGTAATATCAGTTTTTTAAAGTTTGAAGTCTGTTTTATTTATGCTTTTTTGTGATATTGATATTTATTTTATTTGACCAAATTTGAATTCAAAATGCTATACTGAAAAATTTTCTTAATGAAAAATGCTTAAAAAAAAGAGAGAAAATTCGTCAGTCCTGTAAATTCCTGGAGAGTTCAGTGGTTAGAGCGTCGCCTGGATTGCGAAAGGTCATTCAACTAAGGTCATTACTAGGATTTCCACCAGCGGCTTCGTCCGCGTGGTCCTTAGGGAACTATTTATTTGGATATCGATTCATATCATAACATATCATGACACGGCTATAATTACAATGACATAATAGTAAACAATCATTAAAATTGATCCAGTAGTTACGAAGACGATTCGTTGCAAACAAACAAACAATCAAATCTTTCCTCCTTATAATATTAGGAATATTAGCATGTAGTTTGAAGTAATAGTGTTACTAACATTAGATTGATGCTATTAATCACAATATGAATCTTAGTAAACGAGATCTTGTGAAAAATGTGAATCCTAAATAAGTTCTGTAAAGATTGCGAAATTGGAAATACTGAGCAGCGTTTTAAATAAATTAAGGAAAGAGATGAAAGAGCACCGGCTAGGCTTCTTCGAGTTCCAAAGCCTTAAAAACGAGTTCCAACTTTGCCTAAACTTAAGTTTCTCACAAAGCTGCCAGTTATAATCTTATTTGTTTGAACGTTTCCTTTCTATATGTTTTACAATGTTTACTGAGCGCTTTTGAGGTAGAGTTATTACCAGAAAACTCAACCTGGGTTATAAAAATATATTTTAAACGATATTTATTTTCGGCATGCAAAGTTTTATAAGAAATAGTTTCTATTGCAGTCGCTTTATTTATGACGTATAAATTAGTCCATATACCTCCTGCTTGTAATAAAGAACACATTCCATATGTCTATATATCTATATCTTCACGCCAGATCCCTTGCGGAATAGGCACTGAGGACCAAGTGCTACAAGGCACGGTCCTTCTCGACTTTCATTACTGCTCGCCGGTTTTTATGGCTACTGATATCACCTTTCAATAGCAAGCGATCTATCTGTTTATGAAAGGTGTGCCTTGGACTTTGTCTGCTAGTCTTGGGCGTAACAGTTCGCAACTGAGATCGTACGAGTTAGTTCGCGACTCCTAAACGATATGTTGTAGTTCTTTAGTTCGTTTAGATTCCTAGTTCCTTGCAGCAGAAGCAGTTTTAAAACGAGCGAACAATCTGCCTTCTAATTCTTTTATTAAAAGGCGGTTCGTTCGCTCGTTTTGATACTGCTCTTCCTTGTTATGACAAGATTATTGAACATTGTACTACATCTACATCAAATTTTTGAACACAAAAATAACATGAACTAATATTCATAAAATACATTTTTTATAAAGAACTGGGTTTATTGTTTAGGCAGTGAATAATATACTTTATATTTTTAACGAGACGACATTAGTTCGGTCGACTTCACCTTTACTCATTCTATCACGAACGAACGAACTACGGAACGGTAAACTTGCGAACTAGTTCGCGTCCGTCTGTGGGGAGCCAATTCCTCGAACCAGTTCGTTCGCGAACTACACAACACTATTGTCTGCATAATATTTTTGCTCTATATTATCGATTTTATATTAAACTCTTTTTTCGAATTCGTTACTTATTTAATATTTTCAACCCACGGTCTATCGCCAAATTGAATTCAGTCAATGATTCGAATTTATTGTTCTTAAAAGTCAATTATTTTGTTTTATTAGGAGAAAGGAGCAAAATGTAGCTTAAAATATACTTTAACTGCGCTAACCTCAAAAAAATATCATCGCATTGATACCACTTGAAGACGCAAAAGACGATCATCGTTTTAGGTTTAGGTGTAGCAAAGAAAATTAAAATTGAATTGAGATATAGTTCTTGCACAAATTTCAATTAATCTAAGCGTCAACTTATAACGAACTACTCGTACCTAATTAATATCCACATAATTTAACAAAGAAGTTAATCACACTTGACATAACTACCAACCTTACTATTTTTCAGATTTGTTGTTATTGGACTTAGGCGTGACGGCAATTGATGTAACTCATTCATTACGCTGAATTAAAAAAAAGTGCTTCAAACTTCAACTCAAATACAGATAGACACTTACCAAACACCTCGAAGGCTGGTCTCGAAAACTTTTTATTATTATTTTCAAAATACAACTTTTAACGGTCACAGAACTAAAATGTTCTTCAATGTCAGTTATCACCTATAAAGGAATTGAAAGAGAGAGAAAAAAAGGTCAAGAATTTCAAATCCCACGCGTGGAGTTTGTACGCATTGTGCAGCGGCGGCGCGGCGGACGGCGCGATCTCAACGGCTGGTCGGTTCCTAGAAGCGTGATCCTACGCCGCCTGCTGACCGCGCTGGTTACCTACACGCTGTCCCTTTGTGACGTCACTAATACGAATATTTGACTTTCGGCTCTCCCTAATTTAACTTCGGCCGGTAGGAGTGTGTTTTTTTGTTTACTCTTAAATTCCGTTCTAACTTTTCAACGCGGGAAATAATACGACTATGATTAGCCCTAGCCGCTATAAAATATGAGTAATCTGATTATAATAAGTAATTCTATTTGTATTGATGCAATTTTTTGCTCCCATATTCCTTTCACGGATACCCCATCCATCACATCTGCAACATTCGATACGTCAGAGTTTACAAATGGATGGTTAGGTACTGCACCTTCTTGCCATCATTCATCTTTTTGTACTATATTACTGTTGTATTATGATTTGCTTGCATCTGCCGCTATCCGGGAGCGAAGCGTTGTATTATACGTTTTAGTTCGTAGCCGGGATGGTTTGATATTGTTTGAGAAGGGTGTTCGTTTCGGTTTCCATTGAGCGGGGACCGGTCGGAGCAGGAATGCCGCGAAGCGAGCGGCTTTTTGCGTCGGATGCGTGTGCGCAACCCACGCGACATCTCGCCGCGCCGGCCGGCGGCGCCAGACGATCGAGACGCGGCATGATGACCGATCCGAGATATTTTGTTGCAGATATTCGATTTTGTTATTTATTATGTTGCGGTATTATAGTAGGTTGGGTAAACGTTGTTCAAATTAAATCAAATATTATTTAATGTATCGAATGATTAACAACTGAGTAAATACTGTTTTTCAGAGACTAATTAATCTTAGTGATTTATTGGGACTGCATAGCCAGATTGTCACATAACCTTTAGAATATTTAACTGCACATGAAAAAATAAGTTATGTAAACTCAATGATCAGTATCGAACCAATAAGATTGGTTTGCACTTGTCACTAGAGTTAACTCAGACTTATTATGTACGTATGTCCAAATATTTCTATGTACATGGAAATATATGTTTAACTAACACCTATACTACTTCTATACGTAATTATGAATGCCATAACATTTGGTAAGCGATCTGAGAGCAATCAATAACGCCGTTGACGATTCAGTAGGTACTATTGCTTGAAATATTGTTTTTAATAAAATATGGGTGTAATACGTTAATATTTTGTATGGTTTATTCCGTTGTTAAAGTATCCGTTTAATGTAGCTATAGTTCATCATAATTTGTCGAGTTATATTCCGTCGAGTGCGGCGGTCGAGAGAGGGCGCACCACGATGGCAGTGCAAACAACGCGCAGGATGATCCGCCATTACCGGATTGTCTCTGTTCGCGTCACTGTTTCTTACATAAATATTAGGTAATGTCGTCAGATCTTCTCGGTAAATAACGTTTTCTTTTTCTATTAAACAAACGATAAACGATGAATTTTTTTATTTAAAAAGGTTTGTTTGCTAGTTCCCGTGTTAATATATCATATGCACATTAGTACATTAAGTTACTATAATAGAAAAAAAAGATGCAATCAATTTTCTCGGCTTAAAAGTGACTCATATAGTTGGTTATCAATATTCCCTATTTAAAATGTTTAATAATAACAAAACAGGAAAAAATTGCGGATACTAGTGGCCGCCAGCAACTTCGTCCGCGTTTTCCATTATTTCTTCGCTCCCAATAGTTGCAGCGTAATGTTATATAGCCTAAAGCCTTCCTCGATAAATGGTCTATTCAACACAAAAAGAATTTTTCAATTCGAACCAGTAGTTCCTGAGATTAGCGCGTTCAAACAACAAACTCTTCAACTTTATAATATTAGTATAGATTTACTATTGACGATTATTTTTTTTTATTTCCTTTATTGCTGTGTCAGAATCCTTAGAAAGTTGTCGTTGTTTTCACATTATTTGCGCTTTATTTCTTCGTACAAAACCAGTTGAAAGTTAGTGATTTTTGGTTTACGCGCCCTCGTTAAATATCAACTGCACGAGGTTATAGAGCGGCCTTTTATAATAGATCGATTTCAGTTGCTATTAGAATGATATTAGAATCATAATTTTTAATGTATCTTGTCTATCTATCTGTCTAAATATCTAGAGGAAGTAATGAGTATGGAAAATCATACAATATGGAATACTAAAATTCCTTTATGAACTTTGAAATGAGTTCACAGTCCACAAACACATTTGCTGTATC